AGATACAGCGAGAGGACAGACAGAGCTCCTGGCATGAGCCAGGAGGGCACAAGAGAGCCCCTAGTGGTGTGTTGTCTAGAGGTTTTATAGGCAGTTGAGGATATTTGGGAACAGGAAAAAAAGCTTAGGGGTGTAGACTTGTTAAGTGGTCCGTGAATATTTAGAATTAACTTAACATAAGGGATTTCCTGCCTTGATTTCTCTTTGGGATACTGGCATCTTGGTCTGGGAATATATCAAAAAGCCGCCTGCCCAGCTCCCAAGGTGGGCTGAGGTATTGTCTGTTTGCTAAAGAGTAAGTTAAGATTATCTTACTTCTTAAATTTTCTGAGTGTTAAAATGCAATCTTATCTTTAAGGTAGAATCCTTCCTACTTTTTACTATATTGTTTACAGCTGGGTCTGCATTCTAAATTAGTTGCCCAGTTTGCAAAATCACCTCATCAGATCTGAAAGAGGAAAGACAGCACATAGGCCTGGGCCTTCAGCATGCTAAAGTGAATCTTACACATGATTACAAATGATTAGCATAATAAAAACATGTGCTAGTCCTCTTTATCTGGGGAATATTAACTGATCTCACTGAAGAATGACTCTAGAGCTTAATGTTCAACACAGAGTTTTGGTAGGGGGTTTCCTTGCATGTAGTCACATTGCTCTGACTGCAAATATCCTGCCCTGCTTTTTCCAGAGGCCCTCACCCTATTTTGTCTAAACCCATGGTCCCTGTCTCACTGTGACAGTCACTCAGTCCCCCTCCCAGGAGCCAGACCACTGCCCTCACCCACCCCCTGCAATAATAAGCTTCTGATCAGACTGGATGTGAAATGGAGGCTGTGAACCAAGAGGAAGAGGCAGGGCTGACTGGCTTCGGCAGGCACAGAGGCCAAGGGCTGTGTCCTGCTCTCACTCACAACTTAGGGAACCCAGTGCAGGAGGCAATCGCAGACATTGGCTGGCCCAGTAGTTCTGAAACATGTCTGAACATCAGACTCACTGGGGAGCCTTTGAAAATAGATTCCTGCATACAGAGATTTGGATTCTGTAGATCTGAGGGGCTCCCAGGAATGTGCCTTTTATGGAGCTGCTGGTGGTTCTGATGCAGAGACAGGTTTTGAGAACCTGGGGCTCCTGCAACTTCTCCTCTAAGCAGTTGAGAAAACTAGATCTCAGATGAGGGAAGTGTCGTGCCCATGGTCATACAGGTAGGAAGTGGCAGAGCGGAGATTCACACCCAGGTGGGCCCAGCTACCAATCAGGCTGTGTGGCTGCATCTCCTGTGAGGAGAGAGCCAACTTGAAGGTTGACCATATTTCTGGAGCCTGGAACTGACAGAAAAAGTCACAAGGCAAAAAATAGGTTCAACATACAAATACTTGAAATTTATATAAAACTTTCCAAAAATCCATGAAGATAAAAGGGATAACATACTAGAAGCAATGCTTGCAGTAAATAGGACAAAGAGTGAGTATACTTATAACATCTACCTTATCTGTCCAGACAATTCATTCAACTCGATCAGGAAATCAAGGCTTTAATTGGCTAAGCAAAGAGCTTAAATATCCACAGGACAATAATTAGTAAACAAATGTTTAATGGGGGAATGTTTAATCTTGTTAAACTTTAAAATGTAAAACAACCATTTACACATTAGACTATTTTTTTAAACTATATTTCTATATATGTACACATATATAGGAATTTATAAAAAAGGATTTAGGATACACATGGGGGCAGAGCTATTTGATTGGTTAGTATCTGTTCTCTCCCCTCTTTTAAAAAATTAACCAAATCCTTTTCTTATGGGGGGGTAGGGAGGATGCAGCAACCTGCTCAGCTTAAAAATTACACTTCCCAGCCTTCTTTGTGGGTAAGGGTGGCCAATTAGAATGAAGTTGATGTCACGGAGTAGTGAACTTTCAGAGAAGCTCTTTAGAGGGGGCTGATTCAGCTGGGAAAAACACACTTTACCCAGCCTTTCTCCTTTTATTGCCTGGAATGCAGACATGATGGCTGGAACTCCAGTCATCATATCAGGCCATATAGAGAGACCTTAGAGATGGAAGTGAGAATACAGTTCATAAAGTTAGAAGCCTGGGTTCCTCATGATCAGTGACCATGGGTCCATCATGCCAGCCTGAAATGCTATGTCCAGACATAACATCTTCTGTATTTTATGTGGAAGAAAAATATACTTATTTGAGTTACTTGGTTTTCTGTAACATACAGTTGAACCTAAACTTAACTGATAGGTACATCAAACCTCTGTGGCAGTATAAAGGTGCACATTTTACTTGCTATGCATTTATTGCTTGCATTTATAACCATTACATTATACAATAAGAAGATATTCATGTGTTATTTATATAAGCCTCTGTTTTGGTGCCCCTGACAATTCAACTTGAGTGCTAGCCCCACCATTCCCTAGCTATGTGACCTTGGCCAGTCAATTCATTTATCTTAGCCTGTTTCTTTGTATGTAAAATGGGTATGATAACAATATAACTTATCTCACTGGGTTGTGTGGAGCTTAAATGAGCTAATGTAGATAAAATCCTTGGCCCCTTGCCTGGCTTACAGCTGTTACTGTACTACATTATGTTACCCATAGCATGAGTGGTGGCAAAAGCAATTAGAAAAACCTAGGACATGCTGTTGAGTAGAAGAATGAGTTGCAAAATTGGCATGAGTATGATCCCTTTCGTGAAAAACTATTTTTATTTCTACATCTATATGTATATCAATGCACAGGAGATGTCTGAAGAGATGGTTGTCCAAATGTTAGTAGTGGTAATTTCTGGGTAGTAGAATTTCTGCTTTCTTCTATATGGTTGAAAAGGAGTACTATTATTTTTTCAGCAGGAAAATAAAGAAACTCTTTGGAAAACAATGTAACAATTCACACCAAGAATCATTAAAGCATTCATGGCCTTTGACCCAGCTACCTCACTCTTGGGAATTGCTGGAGGAAATAATTCAAATGAAAGAAGAAGGTATAGGCTTAAAAACATGCACTGCAGCGTTATTCATAATAGAGGAAAATAGGTAACCAATTAAGTGACTTATATTAAGGTAGTAATTATTAAAATATTCACTCACTGGAACATTGTGCAACAATTAAAATGAGAAAGGTGATGATCATGTAACAACATGGAAAAATGCTTATGACAAAATGAGAAGCAAAAGGGGCAGAAAGCAAAATTAGATCGGGTACCTAGAGCACAGCTGTGCAAAAATCTTGCATGCATTTGGGTGAGGGCTGCTAGCAAACACAGGCAAATAAACAAGTTGAATCTGTTGGGGCCATTGACTGTGGGTGATCTTTATTCTTTCTCATTTAGAATTCCAACCTTTCTATGTTATGTAATAATAACAAAAAAATTTTTTTTTGCTTTAAAAATCCCCTGAGGGAAAAGGGGAAGTAGGAAGAGGAAGAGAGAAAGGAGAGGCTAGGATTCTCCCCAAAGAGATATGGGCAAGATAAAGTCGAGGCAATCTCAAACACTTGGGCAAATGGCTCCAGGTTGGTCTTTCACCTGGGTGGTCCCGGAGGTTACATCTCCTTTTTGCTCAGATTTGAAAATGATCAGCTAGACGAAATAGTTGTCCAGCTGATAATAAAGCTAGGGTTAAGAGTGATCTTCAGATTGAATCATTTGGAAAAATTGATCATGCTTGCTATTGATGAGACTGCAGAGAAATAAGCACTAGAGAGCTGGCAAGAGTGTGAGCTGGGCAGGCTTCCCGGAGGGCAGTATGCATTGTGTATCCAAACAGACAATGTGCATATCCTCAGAGTCAGTGATCCCACTTCCTGGGTTTTATTCTAAACCTAACGAAAGGATTAATACAATGCATAAAAATATTGACATAAGATGTTCGCCATGGAGTTTATAAAAATAAAAAATTAAACCTTCATTTTTACCATAAAGGAATCAGTAAACTAAATTTTGGCATAACCATGCAGTGGTACCCCAGAGTAGGGATACAAATTTGACATGCAAAGATGCCCACAACATATCAGGTATTAGTAGAAGGCTCCAAAGCAAGATGAGTATTGTCCCATTTTTGTAAGATTGTGTATCTAAATGTGTTCATTTGCATATAAGAATTTCTGCTAAGATAAACATCAGAATTTTAACATTAGCGAATCTTTGGGTGGTGGGATTACAAATTTTGTCATCAGTTTAGTCTCAATTATGCTACAGTAACAACCTGAATATCTACAAGGGAGAAGGCTAATTCTCACCCCTGCTCATGTCTGCTGTGGTCAGTGCTCCTCTCTCTGCCCACCTGCACCCTGGCCCAGGCTGACATTATCTGAACACTGCAGGTTTCTGTGGCAGAGGGAAAAGATGGAGCTCCACCCCACTGGCTCTTCAGGTCACTGCTGGGCAAGTCTGATGGCCCTTCCCAGCTTCAACAGGGCAGGGATATGTCAATTCCCACAGGCCCTCAGGGAAGGGCATTCTGTGGCGGCTGGTACACTTTTGAACTATACTACTACCCACCACACAAGTTATTTCATCCTGTCTTAGTTCGTTTGAGCTGCTATAACAAAAATACCATAGACTGGGTGGTTTAAACAACAAAATTTATTCTTCACAGTTCTGGAGGCTGGGAAGCTCAAGACCAAGATGCCAGCAAATTCAGTGTTTTGGTGAAGATCTGTTTTCTGGTTCTTAGTTGTCTTCTCTCGTGCTCTCACACTGTGGAGGGGTGAGGGAGTTCTCCTGAGGTCCCTTTTCCAAGAGCACTGATCCCGTTCATGAGGGCTCCATCCTCATGACCTCATCACCCCCCCGAAGGGCCCACCTCCTAATACCATCACCTTGGGGATAAGGTTTCCACATAGGAATTCTGGGGGGGATACAAACATTCAGTCTATGGCAATCTTATTATTGAAAGTCCTTTTCTTTGCAGTACACAGTTCTGTCCCAGGAAGTGGATGGTCTCATGGAAAATGGGACATGTGGGTTCCCATTGTCAGAGCACCTTAAGGAGGGAAAATACAGGCACTGAGTGCACGCTACCCAGCACCAGGCAGAAAGGATGGCTTCAAGCCTGAGGTAGAGGCCAGACAGAAGTCAGGGATTTGCCTAATTTAAGAGACAGCTTAATCAACCAGGATCTATAAATATAAAATGACAATGTAACAGTAAGTTCTGGATGTCCAGAAGTGTTATGCCAGGTCTGCTACTTACTATATATATATAATGTGAGTCAAGAATCTCTTTGCTTCCATATGTAAAATGGAAATTAAAATAGCTGCCATGCCTACTTCACATTATAGCTGACCTTTAAAAAGGCCTGGTTAGAGGTGCTGATCCTGGGCACAAAAATCCACAAAAAACTTTTGACTCCCCTAAAGCTTAATGACTAATTGCCTACTATTGACCAGAAGCCTTACCAGTAACATAAACAGTCAATTAACACATATTTTGTAATGTTATATGTATTATATACTGTACTCTCACAATAAAGCAAGTTAGAAAAAAGAAAATGTTTTTCAAGTTGTGGCAAATCTTCAAAAAATTTTCCAGTGTATTTCTTGAAAGCAATCTGTATGTAAGCGGATCTGTGCAGTTCAAATCCGTGTTGTTCAAGGGTCAGCCGTAGTTGGTTGGGTGGGGTGGCTTAATTGGAGGGCTTTAAAATTGTGCTCTTGCACTAGGAAGGTTTGGCCCTTCAGACTGTAACCACACACTTACACATATTACTTCTCCCCAGCCCCTCCCATCACTCATCACCACAGTATCTGTGCATCCCTTCCATTTATGTTTGTGTCCTTTTCAGTAGGGCGGGTGAAAAGATGACAACCAAAGTCTCCATATGGAGGAGGAGGAGGAGGACCCCTCTGATGGACGAGCTGGGGAGGGCCCAGGATGCAGAGGGAAGGACCTCACTCCACTCTGTCATGTCTGGAAGCAGCCATGTCCCCCTTGTTCCTCCTGCCCCCCAGCCTATCAGGATGGAAGGTAGGAGATGACAGGGCTTCCCAAACTGGCCAGATCATTAGGAATGTTTAGGAAGCATTTAAAAACTAGATTCCTGGGCTCCACCTCCTGGAGATTCTGATTCACCTTGTAAGGGTGGGACCAGGCTGAGTCACAGGAGGTGATCTGTGCCACCCCTACCTGGCTCTGGCTCCTGTCCAGCTCCTCTGACAGGCCTTGTGAGGAGGCCCAGCAGAGAGGGCCCAGGCCTCTCAGGTGGTGCGAGCTCTGGCAGATGGGAGAAACCTGAGTAGGCCCAGGCTATCTGATGGTGCATCTGCCCTGGCCCTGTGCTGACTTCTTGAATATCAAGACCAGGGGAAGGCTCAGGAAGAGGCTCCTCCAGGCAGCACCGGCCACCCTGCACGCCACCCCAGGGCCAGAGGAGGTAGTAGGAAAAGGGTACTCCTCCTTTCTTGCCCCCAGCCTCTAAGAACCAAATACACCGTAGGCTTCTGCAACGTGCCTGCCCATCTTTACTGATAACCCTGTAATTTATCTCTTTACACATCTATCAACATGGCAGTTCCTCGAGGGCTGGGTCAGGTCTTACTCCTCTCTGTGGGCCTGGCACAGTGCCTGGCACTTCACTAGTGCTTGCTGAATATTTCATGAATAAAGGGCAGGTAGTAACACTTACTGTGTTATCACAGGGTCAGAGAAGGACTGGTATTGACACCCACTAGGCACACAGCAAATGCACATGCTCACCTCTGATGGGTGGAGAAAATCCAAAGTCACCCAGCTGGAGGCTGAGCTTAGCATGCCCTGATTTGCAGCGGTACTAAATCCCTTTTGGCACCATGGTACCCTTTCATACTATAAGGAAAATGCCCCCTTCTCTCTCTCTATGAGAACAAGCACACACACGCACACACACGCACACACGCACACACATGCACACCACACACCACACACATACACACATACATACAGTTTTTAGGGTAAAAGTATCAGGCCTTCAAAAAAAAGGGAAAGCTGTTTTTTATGGATGAATGCAAGGTAATGAACGTAGATGGAATGAGAGTCAGAAATTACTATTTTGCAACTCCCAAACTAATCACTGACTTAAGCAAGGCTCATTGATGAATGCTAAAATCACTGGGCAAATGATTGTTAGGACCCAGGGCATGCATTTGGTCTCAAGGTTATCACCCTGCAGATAATCTATTAATTTCCAGGGAAATAATGAACCTGTACAATGGACAGACTGGACATCTACCACATTAACCATGTCATCAAAATCAGTATTATTCCAATAGTGGGCCAACCTGGCATTACATACCTTGAGCTACACAACATCTATACGTTTCCTTGCCAAAAATATTTAATCCAAACCCGATCATTAGGAAACAGTCACACCCAGAATGTGGGATATGCTGTAAGAAAAATGCCTTCACTCTGAAAAATTGAGTGTCATGAAAAATAAACAAAAGGAAGGAGGCTTTTAAAAAAGAGGCCAAAGAGGCATAATAGTCAAAAGTAAAGCATAAAATTTCATTGGAATCTGTGTCTTCCCCCAAGCCCCCAAAAAGCTTTAAGGTGTTTTAGAGACATCTGGAGAAATTTGAAAGTGGATTGCACATTACTGCATTAATGTAAATTTTCTTAGGTTGATGAAGGTGGTGTGGCTATATAGGAAAACATTCTTTTTCCTAAGAGATACAAGCTAAAATGCGTGCTGTCTGTGAGTTTCTTCAAATGGTACAGCAAAGAAAAAGAGAAGAGAAGAAAAGGAAAGAAAGAAATTAGCTAGCTAGCTGAAGATTAAGTAAAGGTGACCAGACTTAGCAACTGGTAACTCTATAGGGGTGAGCACAAAGTCTGGAAACATGGCTATTTTATTTTTTTACGGGTTGAAGACGTCCTTGATGACATTATGAATACTTCCTATTTCCAGACTTTATGGACACCCTGCAATGAAGGTTATATGGTTTACAGTGAACTATTCTTTCAACTTTTCTGTATGTTTAAAAATCTTTCAAAATGAAATGTAAGGAGTGGGGGAAGGAATTTCAGCCCTAGACCAAGCCTCTCATCTGCAAATCCAGATTCCATACTCCAGGGAAGGCTTCCAGACAAAGGAGGGGTCCACAGTCAAGGCTGATTCCACAGGGCTTATTAGACTGTTTAAATAAAACTGGGTGACCATTTCTGCAAGGAAAAGGCCAGAGGAAAATTACCAGGCTCTGGATCTTCCCTGAATTCTTCTCCCCACCCCCTTCTCTGCTTAGCTCCTTCCACCTTCACTCTCTCAAGGAAAAGGGGACTCACGAGGGTCTGTGAAGCTCTTACCACCCGACATATCCTGGTTGCCAAAAGAAAAGAGGCAAGGCTTGCTCTGATCTTTCCTGCTTTTCTCAGAGTCCAGCAGGCCACTGTGCTGGAAGCACAGTATACCTCAGTCCCTTTTATGTCCTGTCCTGTATCATAGGAGCCAGGAGCCTAAGACCTATATTTCTCAGATCTCTTGCAAGCTAGGATTTGCTTTAGGGTCTACAAATGAGAGGCACTCTCAAAAACCAATACTCCTTTTCTGGCAGTGGTGAGTGGACTTGATGCGAGTTCCCAGACCAGAAATGTCCTCCAACCCACCACACTGTAGCCATTCCCCTGGGGATGCCAGGGCTGGGCAATGACCAGAACTGAGACAGCAGCTGTCAGCAGAGTCATTGGCAGCTTTAGACCAGCCCCTAAAGCCTACCTGGCATTGTCCTGGGAGACAGGGACATTTGGTCATCCTCCTGGCCCAGGGGAGGGGGATCTCTGCTGCCAGGCCTCTTGGAGTCGAGGCAGAAGAGTCAGCAACAGACAGTCTAGCACAGCCAGACCCTCCCAGGAACACCGAAGACCCCTGCAAAACCAAGAGGCCTGAATGTGACACCCTCATCTTACCAATTTCAATTGCCATCCTCTACCAGTGCCAAGCCCTAGCACCCACGGCCCCCTCCTTGTCAGTCTTTTTCACATCTCCCAGATCTGTGAATATGTAGTCAGGGCTCCCTGGGACCCCCACCCAGCCCCTAGCCCACCTGTGGTCCAGCAACAATAGGTCCTGCTCCAGCAGTGCCTTCACCTCCTCGTTGGCTCCAAATATGTCCCAAAGAGTCAGCTGGGGCTCAAACTGCTGCCAGTGCTGGGGAAATTGGGAGGGTCAGGGGTACAGGGACCATACGGTGGGGAGCTGATGGGGCTACTCTGGGTACATGCCTTGGGGTGGAGCGAGGGAAGGTCCAGTACAGAAAGGGATCTCAGCAACTGACTCCTGCACAACAGGACCAGGCCAATGGCCAGCAGGGAAGAGGCACCTTCACTCGGATTTCACATTCAGGCTGAAACCCAGCTCCCAGCCAAGCTAGGCGTCCCTCTGTTCCCCCTGTTTCTCTGCTGGTCAGGGTACGGCCAGCTCCAGCCAGGGCTGTGTGGCCGTGACTTCAAGCAGAGAGGCTCTGCATTTGACTGATTATTATCTGTTACACTTCCGGTCTGAGCCCTCAGCACTGCTTAAAAACACTGGAAAACCCTTAATCTAGCCTATTCCCTGATAGAGCTGAGAAATCCGAGGTTCACAGAGGTGAAAAGCTGTATGCCCAAGGCTGCAATAGAATGGGGATTAGAGCCCGGTGCCTGCAGCCCTGGTCTGGGTTCAAGTCCTGGCCTCCAGCTGCCAACTCCAGAGGATTGGGGGGGGCGGGAGAGGGAGAGAGAGAGTGTGTGTCTGTGTGTGTGTGTGTGTGTCTGTGTGTACAGGAAGTGAGGGAGAGTGATTGATTCTGCAAGGCTTGGGGGAGGAAGTGCAGTGCCAGAGCCCCCTGACCCTTCACCTGGTGAGTGATCCCCACATCTGTGCGTAGCCCCATGGCTAAAACTTCCTCCAGCCTGAAAGAAAAAACCAAAAGGTCTTGCAGAGGCATTCCATGCCTGTCCCATTCCTCCAACCCTCTGCTGGGATGTGTGGAGGGTGGGCTTTGTGAGGAACAAGCAGTGTGGGCGAGGTGGAGACAGGGCAAGGCAGGAAGCAAAGAGGTACACATGGAGGCATGTGTGGGGTGCAGGGGAGCCCTGGGAGAGGAGCCATAGCCCCCAGATGCTCACTGCTCTAGCTCGCCCAGGGGCACGCGCTTCCGGGTGCCGTGACCAAACAGCATCACCTCCTTCATCCAGTTGTCAGGCTCCAGCGTCTGGATCCGAGCCTCCCGGGTGTGGCCCCCGGCCCCCTGGGGTGTAAATCGCCCATGGGCCCCTGACAACATCAATAACCACCCCCACTTTAACAGCAGCTAACACTGTGCTTACAGATGTTAAATCAGTAGTTCTCAAAGTGTGGTCCGGGACCAACAGTATCTAATGTGCTAGAAATGTAAGTTCTTGAACTCTACTCTAGCCCCATCAGACCAGCAGTTCTGGGTATGGGGCCCATCAATCTAGGTTTAAACATGCCCTCCAGGTTATTCTAACACACGTTAAAGATTAAGAATCTCAGTGCCAGGCACTATACCAAGCACCTCAAAACACATACTCAACAGCTCTACAAAGTAGGTTATTATTTTTTACCACACTATACATATAAGGAAACAGAGGCTTGTAAAGGTTAATAAGTGGCCCAAGATCATACAGCCATGACATTCTCCTCCTGAGTCATCTCTTCTGTGGTTTACAAGGGACTCACCAGGCCCAACGCCAAGGTACTGACCACACTGCCAGTAAGTCCAATTGTGGGTACTGAGCGCCCCCTGTGGGAAGGGAGGGACACGTCAGTGCTGAGTGGAGGGCAGCCCATTTCTCTGTTTCTGCTCTGGTGAGAGTGCCTGGTTGGAATGTCCTACCATCTCAGGCCTCTGAGAGCAACCAGCAGAAACCCCTCTCCCCAAAGGGCCATAATTCCATAGTCACATCATAGCCTTCCCATTCCCCACCTTCAGTCATCAGCCCCAGGACTTACATTCCGGGCAAAGTTGGAGACCTCATACTGGCGGAAGCCAGCCTCCCGAAGAACTGCCCGTCCTTCTTGGTACATCTCAGTAGCGAGCTCAGGGTCAGGGGCAGGAAGGACTCCTTGCTGCACCCCAGTGAAGAGCGCAGTGCCCCGCTCGAGGGACAGCTGGTAGAGGGACATGTGGTCATCACAGTGGTGCAGCAGTTCCTGCAGCTGCCAGAGCCACGGCCCCACCTGCTGTGCTGGCAACCCCAGCATCAGGTCCACAGACACACGCCCAGGGAAGAGGTGCCGGGCCTCTGCCAGTGTCTGCAGAGCATCATTGGCTGAGTGTGTCTGCCCCAGCAAATGCAGCTCAGTATCATCCAGGGACTGAGGAAGAGAGGGTCGGGCGTAAGCACGCAGGCTAGCTCAGAGGGAGACAGGAACACCTGACCGAGTTTACTGTAGACACAGACAAGGGAAAACCTAGGACATGGCAAGGAGCTAGAAGGTGATGGTCAAGCCAGCATCAAAGGCTAACCATTCACTGAAGGGTCATGATATACTAAGCATTCTCATGCAATGTCTACTTTATTCTTATAGCCCTCCAATATTAGCTCTATTTTACAGATAAGAAAACTGAGATCCAGAGATGTTAAATAATTTGTCCAAGGTCATACAATGGCAAATCAGGCCTGGAATTTAGGATTGTCCAATGATGCCAAAGACAACCGTTTTTAAATTTTACTTTTTATTTTGAAATACTTCAAGCCTACAGAAAAAAACAGAAAGAAAAGCAAAACAAACACTTTCGTTTAGATTCACCACTTAACATTTTGCCACATTTGCTTCATCTCTCTCTAAATATACACATATATGATTATAACGTTGGGTTATTTGACAGTAAGTTATAGACCAGCACTGTCTAAAAGAACTTTCACTGACAATGAAAATGTTCTATATTTGCACTGTACCATACAGTAGGCACTAACCATGTGACTATTAAACTTTACATTAATTAAATGTAAATAATCACACTCCAAGAACTTACTAGCATGTGATCAGTGGCTACTTAATGGTCAGTGCAATTATAGAACATTTTAGAAGAATAAGGTTGCCAGTGGTCACGTTAGTGAGCATTGAAATGTCGTTATTTCAATGTAATTAACTTAAATATTGTATCCCATTATACCTTAATAATTGTCTATTTCCTAAGAACAAAGACATTCTCTCATATAACCACAGTCCAATTACAGAGTTCAGTAAATGTAACACAGACACAGAACCATTATCTAATACATAGTCATATGCAAAGTCAGCCAGTTGTCCCAATAATGTCTACTGTAGTAATTTCCTCTCTTTGCCCCACTCCAGGATCCAATCAGGGGTTACACATTGTATTCAGCTATCATTGTCTCTTGTCTCCATTCATCTAGATCCTCAGCCTTTGTCTTTCATGACACTGACATATTTGAAAAGTATAGGCCAATTATTTTAAGAATCTCTCTTAATGAATAAGTTCTAGAGAGCTGCTGTATAACACCATGCTTATAGTTAACAAAATACTGTACACTAAAAAATTTGTTAAGAGGGTAGACTGATGCCATGTTATCTGTTCTTACACAAAATAGACCTTTTAATTTAGATTTTCCTGATGGTTCCTCACAATTAGATTTAAGATATTGATTTGGGGTGAGAATATCTCATAAATGGTATGTCCCTTTCAGTATATCTCATCAGGAAAGCCCTGACCCAAACCCTATGGTAAGTGGGACATATATTTGAAGAGGGGTCAATACTGGATATAGAAATGCCAGGCGTCAATCTGAGAGGAATGTGTTTCTCCCTACCTAAAAACTTTCAATGATTTCCCTGTCACCACTATTCAAAGACCCAAACTCGCTAGCAAGGTGCTGAAGGCTTCTGGACCCTACCTTGCAGATTTGCTCCAGCTGCTCTAGTCATGAAGAATGACTAGCAGCTTCCCCAAAACATGCAAGACTCTTCTGTATCTTGTGTCTTTTACTCCCATGCCCTCTCCTGGGGTGAGTTCCTCCTTCTTGTTCAAACAAAACCTCCTCCAGGAAGTTTCCATGATTTCATCAGACTGAGATGCGCAATGATCTGACCAACTGTCTGCCTTTCTTGGATCTCCTAACAGGTAACATCTTTTTTGAATATCCACTGTGTGCCAGGCACTATGGTGGGTGCTTGGAATACTGTGATGAACGAAAAGGCATGTGTGACCCCTGACTCAAGGAGCTTGCAGTGGAGCACAGCAGCAATTAAGTTGTTACAAATGTGTCACCACACACTTTTCAGTGCCTACTGGGCCCTGGCACCCAAAAGAACTCAAAAATGTTTGTCTGATGAATGAATGTGACTAGAGAAGAGACAGCACTGAAGGTCTGGGTGCCCTGGGATGGGATGGGTGAAATGGGTTACCTGGATGCCAATGGATAACCTGTTGATTCCTGCTGCCCCAAAAGCTGCCAGCCTGGGGCCTGAGGCCGAAGTGGGGTTGGCCTCCAATGTGACTTCCGAGTCTGCAGGGAGATGGGCTGCCTGGGCCACTGCCTCCAGAACAGCAGCCACAGTGTGGGGACTGGCCAGACTGGGGGTGCCCCCACCAAAGAACACAGATTCCACCCTGGTGAAAAGGGACAGAGATGAGACCGGGGGGAACCTCCCGGATGCCTGCACCTGTCCCATACACTCTCCCAAATAATTCCCAAGACCCCACAAATAACACTAATTCACAGCCTCCAGAACCCACCGCCGCACCCCGCTGAGCCGCAGCAGAGTCTGAGCCTCAGTCACCAGACAGCTCCGCAGGGTAGCCTCCTCTACGCCGCGGGGGATGTACTTGTTGAAGTTGCAGTAACTGCAGCGTTTCTCGCAGTACGGCCACTGGGGGCAGGGGGTGTATGAGCGGGCCGACGGGTGACCCCGGGCGGCCCTGCCACTGCCAGCTTCAGTCCCAGACACCCCATTCCGAGGTCCGTCAACAGTCGCTACACCATCTAAGCCACAAACTATTCGCACTGGAAACATTATGCCCAAGTTCAGAAGAGAAATTACTTGGTCAGGGTCACCGAGGCTTCAGGTCTCCCTATCAAGACATTTCCTTGTCAGAGCACCGCGCCCACTCCCAGACCTCGTGTGGGGGTGGGGAGGATGGCAGGTGGGTTCCCAGCGTGACAGGCGGCCACGTGGCGCCCCCTCCCCACTTACGTGGACGTAAAGCGCCGCGCGCTGGCCACTGAACCCCTGAGTCGGCGGACTTGCCGCTCCCTCCGCGCGGTGGCGCCTCCGGGCCATCTTAGCGGCTGTACCCCAGCCACGCGCGCAGGTCCCGGCAAACCCCATAGCGGTCACAGCGGCGGGGAGCGGGCTGCGGCGCGGGGCCGAGCCCCGCGTTTGCGTCAGGCCTTGCGGGAAGGCGGGGCTGCCTCAGCGGAAGGAGGAGGGGCTGCGTGCCCGCGCCGCGGCCGACCACGCGACGGGAAGGGCCGGCCTCCGGTGTGCGGCGCCACCTGCTGGGCACCGATGAGCTTACCGCAGTCGCCAGTCTGTACCTTCCCTTGTTGGCCCGAAGGTATCCTGTCCGGGGCCGAGATCCCTGACCCATCCAGGGACTCTTAGTTTGATCAATCAGTTCCTTCATATTTTATGTGCCTGGCTCAGAGCTGGGCGCTGGAGACATTTGGATGCCTAAGACCAGGTCACAGTACAGGTGCGTAAGACAGGAGAGAGGCAAACCAACGAGATGACAGGCCACAGATACTAATTCAGCACCTGCTGGATACCAACCCAGCGTTCTCCCTGCTGTGAGGCTGGTCTGTTATAGGGCTGAGGAGTCCGGGGAAAGAGCGGGCACTTGGACTGGTTGTTGAAGGAAAAGAAAATCCCAGGGATATAGGGTTTGGCCAAGAGAGTAGGCTGTCATCTTCTGGATCACCCACTTGGGAGGCTGGTCAGATACGATGTATGTGGGAGAAGCCGTGTGCAGGTGAAGGGCTGGGAAAACAGGCAATCGACGAAGTCTGATGAAGTGGAAATATGGGCTTTGGAGTCAGATAGCTGGGTTCTAACTGCAGCTGTGTGGCCTCAGGCACGATTCGGAAACTGAGTTTCAGTTCACCATTTGTGAAATGGGAGGTAATGACTACTTGATAGAGTTTTTGGAAAGATTTCAAGATAAAAGGTATATGAAAGCACTTAGCATAGTGCCGGGCACTCAGAATATCCTAAATTCATGTTCATTTTCTAAAAAGTAAAGAGGAGGCTACTGCTAATGGGGCAGACACTGGGAGGTAAGGATTGCAAGCAGGAGAAGAGTTTCTGTCCCTGTGAACTGAAACCCTATGTGCCTTTTGGAATCTTTTTCTCTTGGTCAGGCTACAGCCTGCTTGATCTGCCCATCAGGGAAGCCCCCGATTCATCTATTAAAAGTAAATAAATAAAAATTGGATTGGTTGGGGGGATAGAGGAATAAGGGGTTGCAGGATGATAGCTAATGAGTATGGAGCTTCTTTTTAAGTGATGAAAATGTTTAAAGTTGACTTTGGTGATGGTTGCACATATCTGTGAATATACTAAAAACCATTGAATAGTACATTTTAAATGGGTGAATTGAATGGTATGTGAATAGATCTTAATAAAGCTGTTGTTTTTTTAAGAATACTTCCTGCTGGACTAATTTGACAACAATGTGAAAAAGAAATGAGTATAACCTAAAAAGAATTTGGGTTGGTAATTCTAAGGGATCAAATGATGATTAAATTAAATAGATAACACATGCCAAAGTGCTTAGCACCTTTGCTGAGAAGGAATAGGTCTGAAAGTACTTGCTTCCCTTTGGTCTCTTTCCTTCTCCATCCATACAAGGTGCCAAGAGGGGAGACCAGCCAAAGAAAACAGAGATGCTCTTTATGCCAACTCACACAGACAGACAAAGGGAATGTGGGGGAAGGGCTGGGAGGGCCTGGAGTGTGGGGAAGCGGCCCCCCACGTTCTTCACAGATTTAGATGTTTTTCCATCTGCTCTCGGAGTTTGACTTTCTGGATCTAGAGGAGAGAGAAAGGAGTCAGAGCCAGGCTTGAGGCCTCTGCCAGCTAGGGTGACCACCCTCTTGGTTTGCCTGGGACTAAAGAATTTCTTAGGGTAAAGGCAGGAAAATTCAGGGCAAACCAAGAGTTGATTAGTTGATCGCCCTACTGCCAGCCAGCCTCTAGACATACTCTTTTGCCCATTGAGACATAGTTGGGCCCACCTGGCCTTCTGCACCCAGGCCACCCTGCCCCTCCCTAACATCCACTTTACACACCTTTCCTGAGACTGTGAGGGGGTAGTTTGTGACAAACACGATGTATCGGGGAATCTTGAAGTGGGAGATCTGCAACCCAGGGGGAGATAGAGCATGAGGCTGGGTGAGGCATGGGGTTGGGGGCAGGGACAGTGGGAGGGAGAAGGGATTGAAGAACTGAGAAACATCAGCTTGTGGTGGTATTGAGGTTCCCACCTTCCCTTTGCAGAAAGCCTTGATCTCCTCTGCCGTGGTCTCTTCTCCTTTCTTCAGCCGAATGCAGGCACAGATTTCCTCCCCCATCCGATCATCCTTCACTCCCACCACCTTCCAGAGTCAGAAACACATATCAGACATCCTCCATTCCCCTCCATGTTTCCTGCTCCTGGGGATTCACCTGGGCACACTGGTCGGGGTGCCTCACCTGCACTTCCTGCACCTGTGGGTGTATGTGAAAGAAGTCCTCGAGCTCTGCAGGGTAGATGTTCTCACCACCCCGGATGATCATATCCTTGGAGCGGCCCACAATCTTGCAGAAGCCCTGCTCATCCATCTTGGCAATGTCTCTGCAAGGAAAGCCCAGGAATGGCCTCTCACTTCTGCCTCATCTGGCTGGCTCACTCACTCACCAAACATTTCTTGGGCACTGACTATGTGTCTCACACTGCTGTAAACTCTGGGGGATACAGCATGAACAAGACATTCCCTGGAATTTATAGTCTAGTAGAGGATACAGACAAAAAGAAATAAACCAAAACATATAACATATTGTCTCTCTTTAGACATCTGTATATTTGCTTTTCACCACTGGCTTCTTGTTTTTCATTCAGGTCTCACCTCAAACGTTTCCACCTTAAAGAGGCCTGCTCTAACCAGGTAGTTTAAAAGAAGCTCCCCTCCCCACCAGAGCCACTTTCCTATGACCCTGTTTTGCATTCTTCATGGTATTTATCAATGTCTGAAATTATCTTGTTTGTATCTGTCTCCCTCCACCAGACAAATGAAAGTCAGACCCTTCTCATGTTGCCTTGCCCTGGACCACCAGAGTCTAGAATAGTGCTGGCACATGGGAGATGCATAATAGTTATACAACTAACAAATGAGTGAATCTTGGCTCAGATTTTGCACAACAGTGTAGTGCAGGGTCCTAGGTACTCTGAACCTCTACTGTCTCTGATCCTTCCACAAGCCCTATGTGGAAAGTATGAACATCCCCATTTTACACATTTTGGAAATTAAATCTCCAAGATGTGAAGGGGCCACCCTGACACACATTTTCTTTGTTTTAGTTTAATGTTCCCAGCTCAGCCCCTGGACTCCCAGCCTCCCCTCAGGACCCAAACTCTGCACCTCACCCTGCCCTCTTACCCTGTCCGATACCACTTGTCTATTCCCACTGCTTCCTCGGTCTTCTGGGGCTCCCCCCAGTAGCCCAGCATGATGCAGTACCCTCGGATCCACAGCTCTCCAGGTGTGTTCAGCTCTGCCACTGTCTGCGTCTCCATGTTCACGATCTGGGCCTGAGACCAGGCAGCTTCAGGCTGAGGCCTCCCATCCTCTTACTTCAGGATAGGGGGCTCTCAGGAATGGGGGTAGCTTTGCCTTTCATCCCCATAATAATGAGGCTCCCTGGCTCTGCCCATCCCCATCCAGGGAAGGGAGACAAAGGCTGGAGTAGGCCCATCACCAGTCAGATACCTGACTTGGGCGTTAAAGAATGGTTGAGGCTCAGGCCTGGAGGGACTGAGGAAATGAAGTGGGCAGGAGCTCCCACAGAGAAGAAGGCCTTTGGAGGGCCAGGCCAGATGAGGAATTATAAACTGTGTAGGAGAAAAGAAGTCTCCTCTTATTTCCCAATAAGCAAATAAACAAGCCAAAGAGAGTGATGTGGCAGGGCCATGTGAATGGGAGAGGCAGTGGAGGGGCAGCCTGAAAGCCTAGTAGAGAAATGAGCCACAGCCAGTACACAAGGGAGGTTCATCTGTGTACCTCAGTGTTTGCATCTGTGAAATGGAGAGAACTACACTTGCCCTGTGTAACTCATAGGTGGGCATCCTGATGAGTGGCAGTGAAGCTGTCAGACACATGGGAGGGAGCTAATGTCCTCCCCACTTACCGCAGGGAGTAGGACAGGAAAGATCTGCCCCAGGATGGCGGTAAGCCCTAGGGGAAGCAGCTGCTTGGGCACACTGGCCATGACCCCAGAGGGGCAAGGGCCAAGGAGGCCAGGCAAACCAGTCTGGCATAAGGCACCAGTGTTGAAGCAGGAAAGGAGTCACGGCTGGGAATCTGAGAGTGAGAGATGCTCTGGGTCCTCAAGGTGCTGCTTGGGGAATTAAATGTTTATGCCAAGTAAAAAAAGAGGATCTCTGCCGAGTCGGGGGGAGGAGGACTACAGGAGAAAAAGAGCTGTGTAGGAAAAATCTCTGTGCTCTGGCTTCTCTTTGAGGTTGTCCTGGCTGCCCCAAAACAGACACTGGGGCTTGGCAAAAACACACCTCAGACAGGAAGGGAGGCTGTGGAGAAGTTCAGCTGGCAGCTGCTCATGGCCCCTGCTCCAGCTCTTCCCCTCTCAGGCCTCAGCACACAGAGAAAGCCCCAGGATTAGACCTTGCTGCTGAGGGGCTCCCAGCATCTTGGATCTCTAATTGAAAGTAATCAGTGCCCCAGGTGGGGGTGGGGTCTGAAGGTCTTGGTCTGGGACTCACCTCTGTGTGAGGCATAACTCTGCCCACACTTTCTGCCTTCTGCTCCACAGTGTCCTCTGTGAAGTTCATGAAGGTCACAGGACTGTTCTCTGTGGTTCCATAAGCCACCTAGGAGTTCCAAAAAGGATGTTTGGAGGGAGCAGTGAGGACTGCAGAGGGATGGTGGGAGCTCCCTGTGGAATGGAAGGAACTCAGGGGAAAGTGAAGAGTGGCTGAATGTTGGGAAAAGAGGCATAATCCACAGAGGTCAGGGGTCAGGAAGCAGAGGCGCTGGGACATTGAGCAGAGGACCTCAACTAGCAGGACGCAAGGTCCGAAAAAAAATTGATCGGGGAAGCCATTCTCCTCGGGCCAGAGCTCTCTCAGTCGCCCTGCTTCCCTGGAGCAGCCTCATGCCTGAGCCAGGGGCTCCAAGCATTACCAGCACCCTCATTAGCACCCCTTTCATGATTTTCAGCCATAACAACCCCTGCCCCTCCCTTCTGAGCCAAAGGCCCCATGAACTCCATGAGAAAGCCAGCCACCTTGGTCCAGCTGGGAGCTGCAGACACAACCCACCCACCAACCCCTGCCCTGCCCCACCCACCTGAAACCTGGGACAAGTGCCTGGCCTTGGGGTGGATGTCCCCCAAGCTCTGGAGAGTTTCCTGTAAATTTATTTCCATCAAAATAAAAATACAGCCAAAGCACAAGGATTTTAGAAGCCAGTGGCACCCCCACCACCCTCCCACTCCCCCCCATAGTGGTTAGAACATCCTGAGCAACAGAAAACCAGAAGCCAGCCTTGGAGGGGCCTAAATACCATCAGAGAATATTCCTGGGTCAACTATGACCCCCATTTAGAGGCAATGGGTGAAAGGAGCTTAGGAAAGGGGCAGGCCTCCACACCTGGACAGAGAGTGAAGGGAGAGGGTCTAGTTACCCTGTATTCTAGGTTCCTTCCAGTCAGCAAAGACACCAGACCTTTGTGCTTCATCCCTACTCACCCCCCATTTCCTCTGGATTAGCTGGCCTGGCTTAGGCACCACTCAGACCTGGTGAGGTCTGGGGTCTGGTCCTCCCGCCACCCCCAAGCAGACAACAACCCCTACCATGCCAAGTCTGCTCTGGGGCCAACCTGAGACCTGCCTGCCCACCTCCCCTTTCCACAGGAATCCCGACACTGCAGCTGACAAGCGGGACACAGCTTGTCACCTGGGATGGGGCTGCGCACAGGACCTGGTCCCTTGTAGCCAGGTCAGGGTCCCCTCCCCACTCTCACGGTGCTGGGTGTAGCCCCTCTGCCAAGTACACCTTGGCACCACTCTGGCTACCACCCTGAGAGACCCCTCAGGAGTGTGTCCTGACCACTGAGGGTGGGGATGGGGAGATGGGGATATTTTAGGGAGATTAAGGAGGGGACAAATGTGCCACTGTGCTTGTTCAGTTGCCCTGACTCCGTGCCTGTGGTCTTCAGGTGTGTCTGAGAGTTCTGTGGGCCACCCCCCCCCAACTTTTATGGTCAGCATTCAGCCACGGAAAATGGGGGTATGGGTGCAGGAGACAGAAACTCCAGCCTGGGGCTGGGAGAGAAGACCAGAGGTAAGGCCAGAAGGGTGGAGTAGCTGCTCCCAGCTCCTCAGGACTGGCGGAGTGTTCAGCCGGAAGAGGGAGCCCGACGCCAGAGCTGTTCTCACGCTCGGC